GGGGGGGGGGGGGGGGGGGGGGGGGGGGGGGGAAGGGGGGGGGAGGGGGGGGGGGCGAGGAGGGGAGCCATTCGTGCTCATGTGTATTGATCCTCTTCACTGACTTTGTGCTACGGGATAATCGGTAGAAGGCGCCCACGCCAAAACCTTTTTGGTTTTGGCCGCCCAAAGTTTAGCCGTTTGGTACTACCGGCCCAATGACTTGCATGTGGGGTACTACAGGCCCACGCGTCGCTCCAAGGGCCCTACCGGATCATGAATCTGGCACATAACCAGCGGCTGATTCATTTTCATATAAAAGAGGCTGGGCGTGGTAACGCTGGAGTATCGAATGAGGCCCACGTACACGATTTTGAAAAAGGAGGGCCCTACCGGTTCATGATTCTGGCACAGAAACAGCGCCAAATTCTGGAATCGGTGAAAACAGGCCCAAGGAGATGTGGCCACGGCGCAAAGGCGCCTTTCACCAAGGGGAACGTTGTTTGGGCCGGTAGTAGCGAACGGCCGAACTTTGGGCGGCCAAAACCGAAAAGGTTTTGGCGTGGGCTCTTTCTACCAATTATCCCTTGTGTTACGGTCATTTACAGGTTCTGCCAATGGCCGAGGATGCCTAACGTAACGGCCATTGACTTTCCTTGTTAGTTTTTCTTTTGTTCTTTGTTTTTGTTTTGTTTTTAGAGAGACTAGGATTTTGTATGCAAGAGCACATCGAGCCTCATGTGGGCATAATATGACTTCGGTTGGAATAACACAACAACATTATGATGATAATAGAACCAGGCCAGCAAACAGACAACTTTTGTACTGGGGCACATATGCACTGCAGTAGGTTCTATTTTGGGATCCACGAACGGATCTTGAGCCTTGAGAAGGTCGCTCAATAGCATGCATGTGTATGCACATATTAGATTCATGGAACATTTTGGTCCTTGTGAACGCAGCACAAGTGGCCTTAGCTTTAGGGAAGACGTTTTTCAAAAACTGGGCAGCACGGGTACTACGGAAAGCATGCCCGTCATAAGTTGAATCTTCAATCTCGGCCTCGCAGGCCCTGGCACTGCTGGCAGTAACATATACATCTACATGTTAAATAACCTGGTTGGGCATGATTGGTGACTTGGACCTTGGACGACATGTAATATAAGTGATAACAAGCATAGCTATCTTGGTTGGGCATTGGAGATTGCAGTTATGTCGCCAGTCTGCAAAGACTACTCTGGGAAATCATGGTCTTTTTCCACCCTCTGTTTCCCTTTTCCTACCCCCCTCCTTCTCTGCCTAGTCCTCTTTAGCCCCCTTTTGGGAAAAGTTATAGATCCTCCCCCCCCCCCCCTCCTCCTAGAGACAAAACGTTACGTTTGTACTCGTTTGCCCCTGGACCCTGGGAGAAGGGTCGCCAGGCCCCGGAAATCTGGTGGCAAAAGTTACGGATACAGTATACCCCTCCCCTCCCCGTGCCTCAACCCTTGTGGGGCCAAACGAGTACAAACCTTTTGTGGGGAGTGGATCTATAACTTCGCCCCCACCCCCCTTCCCCCTTTTCCTGTCAACTACATCTCCGTTGGTTGTCTTTTTCCCAACTGTTCCTTTCCTCGTACACACACTTTTTTTTTTTTTTTTTTTTTTTTAATAGCTTGCAATATATTCAAAAGGACAGCCTGTGCTGATTGTGCTCCCCTGTTGTATGGCCTCGTTTTTTCTTTTCCCGCCCACCCACTCATTTTTTGTGACTCCCGCGTAGTTACCCCAATCAGGAGGAAACTACGCGAGTCACAAAAAATTCAAAAATGAGTTGTAATTGCAGAATGGGCCAAGATACAGTTCACACTTGTGGTTTGGGAAATGTGCACAACCAAGCGTTCTTGCCATGTAGGGTGCACGAAGTGCAATTGCAAACAATGCAAAGTGTGTCTTGGCTCATAGTGCAACTACAACTCGTTTTTGTGCACCTCATCGGAAAACAGAATGTCCTGCCATAAAAGAATATCTTTTGTCTCGTTTTTATTTTTTTCCTCGAATTTGGTTGTGAATTCGACATGACCCTCAGTCTCAGCCAATAGTTGTTTGTATTAGAAAACTGTAGAAACTCTTTTTTTTCCTTGTTTCGGATTTTTTAAAGTTTTATTTTTAATCGATTTTTTCAAAAATTTCAAGTTGAATACAACGTATATATTTTACGTTATATCCGACCAGAGTGCAATAAGCCCAAATCGTGAAGACAGTTGTCAACAATGCAAGTCCAGATAAATGTCCATCGGCTGATGATTACTAATAGTCAAAATCGTATCCAGGCAGAATGGGGGAGATAATCATAGTACACAGACGAAGAGAAAGGAGGGAGAAGAGATAAAGGAGAGGAAGTATAATGCCCTTTCCTGCTTCGGGTTCCCTCCTCTACACCTCAACAATCAATAGTCTGGTCGAGTATCTGAAGTATCCGCAATGTGCCACGTGGCATGTCTAATCAGTTACACATCAGCATCTGGAGCAATGTAGACATGAAGACCATCAAGTACATATCCTCGAACTCTCCATAGTCCTGATCTCCTCCTGAAGCGACGACGAAGAGAACAGGAATGCCGATTACGTAGTCCCAACCATGGAACACGTGGCAGAAGCTATGTCATCCAGCCACATCGGCGATAGCGCAGGGCAACTGCCACATCAGCATGCCAAGAAGACAGGAGCAAGCCGGCCACCTTGCTGGACTAGCAGTGCCTCGCCAAGTCACAATGCCAGCGTCGCAGCGTCGAGCCAGTGTCGCAGCGTCGAGCCAGCGTTGGAGTCAACGCCAACAGAAAAAATGTGGCAATTTTGTTGCCACGTTGAACCTACGTTGACACCACATTTCAACTGTTTATAAATCGTTGGCAAGGGGGGGGGGCATGTGTTCAACACAAACTGAAGGAAACCAACACTGACCGTATATTGGGGACACCGAAACTTGTGTGTTCAACTGTTGGATCAACAGTTGACAGACAGTTGGTCCAACTGTTGATCCATTGTTAGTAGCTTGTTGAAATCTTGTTGAAGAGTTGTTGAAATGTTGTTGAAACCTTGTTGAAATGTGTTGAAACGTGTTGAAAGTGTGTTGGAATGTGTTGAAATATTTTGGACCGTGTTGAAACAGGGTATTGGACCGTGCGCAATAGCAGTTTCGGTTACGGGTCATTTGCGTTGTCCGGGGGTGGGTTGTAGCTGTGTTTTCCTCGTTTAAGGACTGAGCACGTTTTGGAGTACGAAGATCACATGGACGAGCGTTGGGTTTGTGCGCGCCGACCGGGCACGTGATGATTGCAGTGACTGATGGAATTGAGGGATCAGAGAGAGAGAGAGAGAGAGAGAGAGAGAGAGAGAGAGAGAGTCCAAGAGAGAGAAAGAGATGCTGTAGGCTGCCGACGAACACATTTCGGGCCTCGTACAAACAAGGTTGACTTT